AGCCCCACCATACCAGGAAGCTCCAGCTCCTCATCGTCTCTCTTGCCTTTCTCCTCCTTCCCGTCTGCTGCTAAACAGAAGAGTGCTTTTGCTCCCGTGCTCAGACCCCAGGGCTCTCCCTCCCCTGCCTGCCCTGCCTCAGGGGGGAACAGCTTCAGAGGTAGCCACCCAACTCACTATCTGACCCCGCTGTCTGAACTCACGAATGCAGTCTAACCCCCCCCTCGTACTAACCCCTCGAAAAGCTATGACTGAACAAGAGAGAGAGAGCGGTTGCTGGATGTACATTAAATGCAAGAGCTGATTGATTAGAATCATAGACTTTGTATATTTTTTTCTCTCCAGCGATGACGGGCCTGGTTGTCCCCCCGATGTAGCAAAGCACCCGTCCCAATCTACCCCAGACCACTGCTTCACTTAGCCCCTCTTTTGGCACTGAGAGGGTGGGGGGGGAATGGAAAATTGATCCCTACCATGTATAACTTCCCTCCCCAAGTCCCCCGTCCCCCCCCGACGCCATTTCTTAGTCCCTTTCTCATCCATGTGGATGAACAGGACGGGGTATGAAAATGTCCAAAGACCAGCCATCTTCTCCAGAGGCAGAGGAGATAACTCCACCCACAGCTACAGACAGACTGTGCTCCTTAGCTACCAGCACCAGAATGGACCACATATACTGCACTGTGTTCAATGAAGGAAAACTGGTCCCACGTTCACCTCAAGCTTCTAAAGCGTCCGTGTCGACCTCTGGCCAGCTGTCACATGCAGTCTTCGATCCTTCTAACACCTGCCCCAACCTCGGCCAAGAGACGTGCGTTGTGCGAGCGCTGTTGGATGACGGACAACTCTGACATGACGTTGCAGCTCTAAAAAAGCAGGGTGCTATCTTATCTGTGTATGGACACCTTTAATGGCATGTGTGTGTACACTGTCTGTGAGTTAGCGAGAGGTTTTTTTGTAGTAGACTTTTTTGAAGACAATTTACATTCCAGATAAAATAGACCCTTTATTTTTTGTTCTGATGCCTACGGTTTTACAAGGGAGAACTCTTTGTCTTAAGGGTTATTACTAAAGGAATTCATATATTGATTTATTTAAAAAAAAACAAGCAATTTAACTTATTATAGTTAGTTTAGGGAATAATATAAATGTGTTTTTATAAAGTGGTCCTTTTTCCAACTGTTACTGATATGAAGTTATCTGAGCGATTGCTAGTCGATTTGGTAAATGATCCGAGGGAATGGGTTTTGTTTAGTGGAGAAGATAAAACTCTCCTGCAGGTTCTTTCATGACAAAATCCTAATGTTATGCCCACAGTTAAAGAAGATTATTGTCCTTGTGTAAAGGAAAAATGTTAGTTAGCCTTATCCTTTTTGATTTCACTTATAATGCATGCTTTGTCACACCAATGCCCTGTTATTATTTCATTTCATGATGCAAACTTAAATGTATATGACAACACCATACCGATGTAACAGTTTCATTTTAAATGTGTCAGCCCAGTACAGGCCTCTAGTCACTATGCAGTAAACGGTAAATAAAAGCACAACTGCTCAGTAGTAAAGAATGTGGGCGTGTTAGGTGATCAGTAATTCATATCATGCTGTTCTTATTCCATGATTTCTGTCATAACAACACAAATATCATTCTCAGGACATGAAAACAAAGAACACAAAGAGTAGGTGACATTTGCGATTTTTTTGTTTGTTTAGAGTTTGGTCAATTTTATTTATTTAAAAAAATATTAGCAATTTTAATAATATGTTTTTTGAAGCCATCTTTCTTTGAAACAGAACATAAAATGGTGCAAATGTGGTTTGAATATCTCGAGTTGTAATTATATTTTGTCCTCCAAATAAAACAAGTGAGAAAAAGAACCCCTTACGCTGATTTAAGTTGTTTTAGTTTTAGCGATGCATTAAATCGTGAAGTGTCATGTGGCTTTTCTTTTTTTACATGTGTGCATAAGAGTAAGTATTTTCCAACAGATTGTATTATCTAACAAAGATTTTCTTATAAAGCTCCACACTTCATTCTACTTCGGATCTATTTCTGACTGTGCCCGTCACCTGTGTGCTTGTGCAGTTTGCATTCTTTTTTTTGTATACATAGCTGATGAGCCGCAGCATCTTAATTGTGATGCGAGCGTTAAAGACTGAGCAGAGCATGTCAAGATAAACAACAATACTCCCCTCCCCTCCCTCCCTCCCAACACACACACACACACACACACACACACACATCTCTCTCCTCTCCAATAAGCCTACTTTTCTCTGAGGACCAAGCCTCTGGGGGCCCGAGTGAGAACCACATGAGTCTCCCGCCAACGTGCAGTCTCCTTTACTCTCTCTCTCTCTCTCTCTCAAAACACATACACACACGTAGGCATGAGCCTCACTATACTGCCTTGTTTTTCACTCTTTGTTTGTTACAGCTTCGTCCCGTCTTTCTTTCTCTCCTTTGCTCCCCTGAAATGGCTGTTCTCTGCTAATGTAATTAGCACTGGTAAAGAAGGGCAGTTCATTACCCACTCTATTTTGATCAGGTAATTAATGTTATGCCAGGAAACTGCAACCATGTCATTAACATGGAGCTCAAAGCTGCGAGCGGGCGCCCAGCGGATGCATGTCTTCTGTATGGATTTGTACATGTGTGGACAAATGGTGAATCAACAGCTCTGCTCGGTGACAGTGAGCAACACAGGGACTTCTAACATGTGACAGTGTCCATCTGTAACCTGACCTCGACAGGAAATCACTGTTTCTGTGTGTGACGTCTTTGTCTTCATTAAGCAGCACTGAAAAAAAAGTCTGGGCTGCTGCCTCTTCCTCTTCACCCCCCTCCCTCTACCTCTTTTTTGATATGCTTGTTAATTTGACAAGTTAAAGTCAGCTTTGTTGCCGGCACCTCAGCATTCATCTTGCTGCAGTGCTCCTTCTGCCCAGTGGTGCCGGAGCCATATGCTCCTCTTCCACATGACTGTTCTGTTGTTACTGTAGTGGTTCTCGGCGTCGCCATTTACTGTCTTCTTGATCACAGTTTAGATAAAGACAGGATGAGATGGTGCCACCTGCCACCGAGCCGTTCCACATCATCACTTCAAAAGAGCATGTAGCTGCTGGGCACACGAGAGCAAGTACCTTGTCATTCTTCATTATCTATGCAGCTGAAGCACTGATGAGCCTCTGTTTTTAAGTTACAATACGGACTTCCTTACAATAGGGTGAACGTGCTCCACAAAATGCACCCTTCCCCTCTCACCCCTCTAGGGATGTGTTTGTGTTTATATACCCAATTAGCCCTCCGGCCACAGCATGGACATGCATTAGGCTGACATTAGCCCCGGGTGTATGTAACGTCTGTGTGTGTGGACAGTGCATGCCTTTCTCATCTGAGGAATAATTTCAGGGGTGTGCGTGTGTTATTAGGCAGACCGAGGCAGGGCTTGACAGGGGTGGCCCACTGTTTTGTCAGATAGATTGGTAGGTTGGTTTCCACGCACCCAGCCGGTGTCCTGTGCCTTTGGCCCGTCAGTAAAACCTGCATTGTTGCCCATTAGACCACTGGACCCCGATTCCTCTTTTCAAAATGAATCCCAACCCCTTCTGCCGTTCCCTTGGGTGTCAGTAGAGTGGGGTGGCAGATGGGACAGACACAGAGCTGCCCCATGAGACCACCCCCCCAACAAAACACACACACATATAGACACATTCACATATAGGTGCACACACACATACTCAGACATGCATGCATGCACAAATGCATAAGCAGCAACACACACACACAAACACACACACACAGTGCACAGCAGCAGCAGCAGCAACACATAGCTCCCCCTGCCCCCAAACACAAACCTCATCTGTCAGCCTACTGCTTTTGTCCGAACCTCAGGAGTATGCTCCGTGAACACAGAATGATGTCTCTGTCCCTGCCTCTCAATCTGTGCTTTGTGTACCTGTGTGTTTGTGTGTGTGCATGAGAGAGAGAGAGACAAAACCACAGAGTTGAGGTGCAACAAGAATGATGCCTCCAAGACAAATTATGCTGTAAAAGTGATTATGTTCCTCTTACAACATTCAGATCCTGATTCTGATCAAACAATGAAAACGTTTGAAAACCTGACAAGATTTACAATGACAAATATATCTGTTATTTGTAATTATGTCAACTTAGACCAGACATTTATATCTTAATAATCTAAGTATAGCAAACCCAGATAGACATTCAGTGTATTTTCTGATAGATAGATAGATAGATAGATAGATAGATAGATAGATAGATAGATAGATGGATAGATAGATAGAGTTTTGATTTTCCCAAATACAGCTACAGCAACAATGGTGCAACATAGAACAGTGCAATGGACAGGTGAAAATAAATTTAACTTAAAATAAGGATAAAATAAATAACTCCATAGAATAAATGTGTCCATGATGATATTAAATAATCATGAATCAGTATTAATCTTTTTCATATTATTTTTCTTTTACCCTTTGGTGCTGAGGTCATAACTCCAGGCCTAACTGTGGCCTGTAGTGTTTAAAATAAACTTTAAGTAAGTCATTGGCATCCAATTATTAACTTAGACTTTTATAATTTGACATACCTCTCTTTCTTATGCTTCCACTCTTTCTTTATTTTATATATAAGACCTGACCTTATTAAGTCTTTTGTTTTGGATTTTATCATTTTACTTTTCTCTCTCATGGTTTCATTCTTTATTCATTTCTGTGTCAGCTCTTTTAAATCAGCGGCACCCAGTCGTTACTTTTATTCTTCTCCTTCCCTCTTTCTCATGGTTTCACTCTTTATTCATCTCCATCTCATGTGTGGGGCCTTGTCACTTGCACACCATCATGTGAGTCTCAGTCCAGTGTACATGAGGACTGATCTCTGCTGGAGGAGTTTCTCTACATCCTGATCTCTCTCCTCCTCCTCTGGGTACAATATTGACAATTAGCCAGATTAGAGGAGGGGGGAGGGGGTAATTTGGGCCAAACGCGCGTGTGTTGGCTGCTCGTGCACGCGCAACGGTGTGAGGTGAGGAGGCCCACGCCGGTGATTAATTACAGCCCGGGCCTCGGTGACAGAGGAGGGGGCTCTCCCACTGCTGTCTGCGGCCGGCACGCAGGGAGACCCGGCCCGGCTAATTGACCCGGCTTCTGTAAGGCCATCCATCAAGCGTGGCCCGAGTGGCCCCGTAAGAAACACATTATTCTGAGGTAAGTTAGTTAGTTAACCAACTAGCGCTCCACAGACTCATTAATGCTATTAGCTGCTCTGCTGTGTCCCTTCTGCAGCCAGCGAGTCCCGAGCCGTGCGCCTGACCACGTGGAGTCCGCGGACAGCCTCTCCACAGCCGGGCTTTTAGTTTGGGTTTCACGGTCCTCTGGTGTCGATGTTTTCAGAACTTAAACCCGCCTGTGGCCTGGTAGTGGTGCAGCTAACTGCAGCTACAGGCCCAGTCCACAACAAACACACCCACTCTGCGTCACGTGGAGCAACAATTAACCTGGAAATCTTTCTCTCCACAAGTTTTGTGCTTGAAAACCACGCAATCATTCATTGTGCGATTATTGAAGTGGTAGATTTTCAACAGTTATAGAGAAAAACAAAGAGTTCGAACAGCAGGAAAGCTTTGATTTCCACATAAGAGAAATCTTCTTTTCATGGATGTCCACTTTAAAGGTTCAGTGTTTAGGATGTAGGCACAAATTTAATATAAAATATTCCTAGTGTCTAATCATCTAATTGTACGAATTGTATTTTCTTTACCCCTAAAATGCCCCCTATGTATAATAAATAAAATACTTTATATGTACATCAGGAGCAGGCCCTCCCTTCTGGAGGCCGCCATGTTTTTTACAGTAGCCCAAATACTTTTTATGACAACTGAATGCTGTCACAGGTTCTCTTTCGTGTGGAGACGGGTTGTTCTCCGCTGTTTCTCTCCGATCCCCTGTGTAAACATATAAGTAGACTAGACTTAAAAGTAACACAACATGTACAGGTGTTAAATTTTAGTACACAACATAAGTCTGCGCAGGGTAGATAGGTTATGAACTGCAGTGTAAGATTGTTGTGCAAAATAGACAGACCAGTCCAAATGCTTTATGGCTAATGTGCAGACAATGTGTAGCTGTGACAAGTAATGTTGATCTACAGGATGTAAAAAGAAAAAAAAAGTGCATGTTGAGAGAGAACCCCAGGTACTAAAGCCTCTTCATGACGTTTAAGTTGTGGTGAGATGTATTGAAGTGCATGTTTTAATTATTTGCACATATTGTAGTTTTATTTTTAAGAACTTTTCACTTGTCCACTTCTACATACATCAGCAAATATCTGTACTTTCTACTCCACAAAAATGTTTAACTATCAATCTTTGATCAATCTAAATTTTATTTGTATAAGCTGCGTTCACAAATCACAATTTGCCTTATAGGGCTTAACGAGGTGCAACATCCTCTGCCCCTCACTCTTGACTAGAGAGGAAAAACAACCTCGATATTTATTTCCAGGGGAAATGTATATATTTAAAAGTAATCAGTAGCGAGCACTAATCAATTGATCCAATCAGAACAAGCAGATAGCATTAGAGCCCACCTCCTGAAGCTGAAAATAATGTTGAAGAGACTCCGCTATAATGATGTAGTTGCATTAGAGAATAGGCCACACTCAGCAAGTACTTTCACTTTTAAATTTTAAGTTTATTAAAAGGCATCTCACCTTTTACTAAAGCTGAAAAGTAAATGTGGTACTTTTTCTTGAATAGTTTTCTATTTATTTGCACTTTTACTTCAGTAGAAAGTTTGAGTACTTCCTCCACCACTGGATTAAGGTGTTGTAAAATTAATCTTTTTTGTCAAAGCCCCGTTGAACATCTGTAAATTGCCTTCTTAATGTTTCAAATGATATTATCTTCCAAATGGACTGCTGTAGAATTGTAAGCCACTATCTCACGTCAGCATGTGTGATAACTGTTGTTAGATTTGATTTTGCTCTGAGGAGAGACAGGTAGTGTCCAGATCAGCTGTCGGAGCAGTGTCTGGGTGGTGTGGTTACTGCTAGAAGTGAGCGATGGGCAGGCCTGTAGGTCTCTGCTCCACACACGGTCACAGGGCCCACATGTGCTTTCACTTGCCTCCCTAATAAAAAATGTCCCTCCACAAGGGGAGAAGACATGGAGACGTGTAGTGAGCAGTGGGGATGCTTCAGTGTGAGCACGGGGGAAAATGATTTCTCATCCCCAGAAGGGGACTTGTCATACTAGAATTCCCCCCCCCAAATAACTATCGCCCTCCTCCCTCCCTGCGAGTGTTGCAGGGCCAGAGAATAATTGCAGTTGGGTCACATCTAGTTGTCACAGCTGACCTTTTGCCAGTGATGAAGTTACAGCTCAGTGTGTGTGCGTGTGTGGCCATGTGCATGTGTTCTTCAAACCAAAACATCTTCAGACTCATGATGATTTAAAAGAATATATATTTTTCAGAAGTGGAGAGGATCAGCTCTGATGTGTGAGAGGCAGCCCCATAGCGCCACCTGCCTGTGAGAGAGCATGGCTTATTTTTCTGCTCCTTCAATCTGCCGGGTTTCTACCAGAATGGTTTCTCTGAAGTTAAAGCATTTCTTGTCATGATTTGTTGCGAGCAGCCTCACGTGTATTAAAGTAACACATGTATTAATAAAACAGTTATGGTGCTGCCGAAAAGTCTGAGACCACATGGGAACTTTGGGACGTCACTGGACGTGTTCGATTCTGTCACATGTCGTGTTGTAGTCGTGACATGCCAGCAGTAGCAACACTGTGATAACAACCACAAACAACCTTTCTTTTTTTTATGTCTCAGAGTCCTCTGTATATCAGCATGCATAAATATGCAGGACGAAATCTAATCAAATAAATCCATTCATTAGTAGAGCTGCTGGTATTTCTGCTTTTGCATTAATTGCTTAGTCATTACCATATCAATTAGAGAAATCAGAGATCATGTAATTAAGGTTTAACCAAAAGCACCTGCTGCCTCTGAGCTGTGTGTGCGTGCGTGTGTGTGTGTGAGCGCTTCAGTCCTAATCTAATCTCCGTCCTTTGACAGGACTCCCCCTCATCAATCCAGAGCTGACGGAATTCAGCTTCTCTTTTTTTGTGTGTTTTGTTTTTGTTTATAAGAGTGGGTGGCGGCAGCAGTGGCGGTTGTGTTTGGAGGGGGGGTGGCGCGCTAAATGTTGTCATGGCGATCAAATTGATTGGCAGGGACGCCTGATTAGAAAGGAAGAATAGGAGACAGGTGGAAGGAGGCGGGGCTGTACATCTAAGGGAACAGATTGGGACAAAGTGAGGAGTCGCTGGGTGTCACGAGGGGAGACACTGTCTGCTTGGCTCCAGTTACACCTTGTAAAAGATAACCAGTAATTACTCTAACGGTCCACGGAGGCTATTCTCTACTCTGATGCTTCTGGGTTTGAAACAACGTCACCAGATGTTGTTGTATTTTCCTTTTTAATGTATTTAAAGTGGATATTTCTGAAATTTGCTCTATTGACAGATTATTAACAGCAAGTTTCAGATGATGTCTGTTATCACAGGAGAATGGAAGAGGGGAGTATTTTATTTGTGTGTGTTCACCTATGAGGAAAGGATGAATTGTGCTGAGAAGAGGATGGAATCATTCTTTTCATTAAGGAATTAAAGGAATAAATAACATATGTAAGGAAGAAAAAACCCCATAGGAAAAGAAAGAGGAGATGAGGAGTGAGGGGAAGGGAATGGGACTCAGGGGTATGGACAACAACCTCCGGCCTCCTCCTCCTCCCTAGCACTTCCTGTTCCATTTCCTTTCTTCTCCTAAGCCTCCCTCTTCACTCCTTTCACTCCTAGTGACATCTTGCCTTTTTTTAAATTGGGGTCACTCCTGTTACTCCCTAAATACAGGATATACTGTATCATCATCTAGGTTTTTGCAGGTTTCAGCCCTTAAAGTTTTTATTATGTTTGTATGATATAAATGAGATAGCATTATTACCACTGACCATTTCTTTTAATTTCCTGCACCATGGAGGTTTTGTTTTTGTCTGTAAGCAGGATTACATAAAGACCTCTGGACATACTGTATTGTCATGTAACTTGGTGCAAGGATGTAGTGCGAAGATCCCATTTCCATTTTTCCAAATTTTTGTTGATGTTTCAGAATAATTTATGGATCATAAGTTCTTTTGAGTTTTTGTAGTTTTGGTGCAGATCCCCAGAAAATCTGTATCTAGTTAAATTAAATATGGTTTTATAAGGGGACTGTTGGACAGTTTAAATCATACTTATATATATGCATTCATTATTTCTGTGTCTTGCCAATGCATTTGTGGGGATTACAAGACACTTTTAATTTACAAAAACATTAAGTCAACTTTCCTTCTTCCTCCAGTATTACACATAAAGCACGTGGAAACTAGAATGACTCAGTAGAGAGCATACCTCCGCTAACCTCAATAGTCTCCTTAAATTAGATCAAGCTGCACCAAATATTACACACTCATGGATATCAGTTCCTTAAATATGCATTTTTTAATTTTCATCAAGGTTCATGTATCATATCTTGGGAAAATGTTGAAAAACGTCCCATATCACAATGTTAAAGAAAGTGGAAAAGAATTCCTGGATCCGCACTAAAATGTTATGGGTTCTTCCCTGAACCATACCACATCCTTCCACCAAGTTTCATGGAAATCAGTTTTGTTGGTATAGTGTAATCTTTCTATCAAACATACAAACCAACCAACAAAGAGACAGAGGTGAAGACATAATCTAAAAAAGATAAAGCAAATTTCATTTTTTCTAAATGCATTGAAACAAACAGCAATTTGCTGCATAAAGCAAAAGATTTCTTCTTGTTTTTCCACTGAAAACACTGATGACAGTGATTTATCCTCAAACACATAAACCTGTCCACTTGATAATCTGCAGTGATTCTGAGCAGTCAACCTTCAGGTTCTCGTTGTCTTGCCCTGTCGGTGCCAGCCAAGCGTTCATGTAGTAAATCTTTTACCCCTCGTGTCCTCCTTTCACCCTCCTCATAACATTCCTGCATCCTCACATCCCATGCATGGACTTTGTGGTTAGCCACAGTTAGGAAATTTCAGTTTAGTGTAGCACTGTTAATAAAACAGTTTACCGCCTTGCTGACTTTAAATTATAAATATTATAGATGTGCTTGGTGAAATTGAAAGAATG